ACCGGGTGGTACAGTCCTCGCGGCTGAGGAACCTGCACTGACGCGTTGTCACCACCAGGTGCACGGATTCCGTGAGGGCCACGCCGCCCGTCCTCCCAGCCATGGCAACCACCGTCAGTCACTGCCCCGCGGCTCTGCCTGCCCCGGGGCTCACACGGTGGAATCGCAGTGTTTGGGTTTTTATGTTTTTATTGGTTTCCGAGGGGAAGGGGGAGGAGAGAGAAGAACATCCACCATGAGAGAGAACCATGTGAACGCCCCGCGGTCCCAGCAGCGCTGGCTGGAAAGACCATCTTTCCTCTGCTGGCTGCCTCCACCCCTTTGTCGAGGGTCGGGGGCTGGGTGTGGGGTCCAGGTCCGGCTCTGTTCTGCTGTGGGCCTGTGTGTCCTGCCGTGGGCCTGTCTGTCCGTGGGCCTGCCTGTCTGTTCTGCTGTGGGTCTGTCCGTGGGCCTGTCTGTCCATGGGCCTGTCTGTCTGTGGGTCTGTCTGTCCTGCCGTGGGCCTGTCTGTTCTGCTGTGGGTCTGTCCGTGGGCCTGTCTGTCCATGGGCCTGTCTGTCTGTGGGTCTGTCTGTCCTGCCGTGGGCCTGTCTGTTCTGCTGTGGGTCTGTCCGTGGGCCTGTCTGTCCATGGGCCTGTCTGTCTGTGGGTCTGTCTGTCCTGCCGTGGGCCTGTCTGTTCTGCTGTGGGTCTGTCCGTGGGCCTGTCTGTCCATGGGCCTGTCTGTCTGTGGGTCTGTCTGTCCTGCCGTGGGCCTGTCTGTTCTGCTGTGGGTCTGTCCGTGGGCCTGTCTGTCCATGGGCCTGTCTGTCTGTGGGTCTGTCTGTCCTGCCGTGGGCCTGTCTGTTCTGCTGTGGGTCTGTCCGTGTCCGGCCGTGGGCCTGTCTGTTCTGCTGTGGGTCTGTCCGTGGGCCTGTCTGTCCATGGGCCTGTCTGTCTGTGGGTCTGTCTGTCCTGCATCGACACCACGGGGCCTGAGGCTGCAGCTCTGTGGCGGTTGCAGCGGCGCCAGGTCTCCAGCTCCACCTCCCGTACAGCGTGGCCTCCCTGTGAACTTCGGAGTCAGTGTCTCCGTGTCTACAAAGGAACTTGCTGGGGTTGGTTTTAAAATACTTTTACTGATTTCAGAGGAAGGAAGAGAGAGAGAGAAACATGGATGATGAGAGAGAATCGTGGACCGGCTGCCTCCTGCACGCCCCCTGCTGGGGACAAGCCCACAACCCGGGCCTGTGCCCTTGACTGGAATCGAACCCGGGACCCTTCAGTCTACAGGCGACGCTCTGTCCACGGAGCCAAACTGGCCAGGGCAAGGGAGTTAGTTAAATCCTCACCAAGGAGTGAGGACATTTTTCCCATTGATTTTTAGAGAGAATAGCAGAGAGAGGGGGAGAGAGAGACACAGCGATTGGTCCAAGACACAGCGAGAGGCCTGAGTTTCTGTCCAGATGCCTTCATGCTGACAAGACAGACAGATGAGGCGGGAACATGGGGCTCCAGCGGGGCCGTGAGGGGGTGCCGGCTGCACGCCCCCCTCTCGGGCGTGTCCTTCACTCCGTGTGGCCGGGCTCCTGTCCAGCCCGCCC